CAATACTCTTAATTAGAAGGTACAAAGTTTTTAATTAATGGCTTCACAAATTGAACCCGAATGATATTTCATGCTTAATATATAAAATAAAAGAAAGAAGAAAATAGTTAGATTGAATTACAAACATATTAGGAAAGTTTTAGAATTTTAAACATTTTCAAAAATAGTTTTAATTCACAAAAACTAATATAAAAATAAAAAAAAGTCCTTATTTTACAATTGAAAAAAAAAATTAATACAAAAACTATATTGTTTTTATTTTTATATTAAAAAAGTGAAATTTGGTTTATCCACACGAGAGTTTTGTTTGAATTTTACTTACACACTTAGTTGGCCATTACAGACGTGAGTCGTCCTTGGCCGCGTCGAGTAGCCTCCGCCAGCTAACCTAATCAGTTGCTTGCTGTCGCCAGTTGATAGTATCGAGCGCCCCCAAAACATTGGTCTCCTGGTCCTTCCACCGAAGATGCGTACATACTCTACCGCGTTTTCCACCTGCGGGTACCGAATCAAACATCTTTCTCAGCGGAGCACATTATTCTATTTGCACGATATGACCAAACCAGGGAAGCCACTGAATTTTTATGCGCTTAACTTTGTCAATGTCACGGTATAGCTCATACAGCCCATCATTAAATTTAATTCGATAATCGTCTCGAACGGGTAAGGGACTATAGATTTTCGGAAGAATTTTTCTCTCGAATGCTCCTAACGTCTTCTCATCACTATTTGTAGTTGTCCAAACTTCTGCACCATACAGCAAGACAGGCATAAGTGATTTGTAGAGCGCATTTGTGATTTTAGGTGTCAAAAATTTTCATTATTCATTGAAAGTAACAACAATTGACAGCTAAAATTCCAAATGAAACTCTCGTGTGAGTCTAGTATAAGAAGAAACAACAAATTTCAGTTTTGTGCAGGGTTGGGCAGGGTTCAATTCCTAAATTTCTTGGAGTCTAAAAATTTTATACAGACAATCTAACCAATAGGTGTTTCCACAGATCACTGATAGAGATTATTTAACAGTTTTCAAAATAGTTGTATGAAAAAAAATTCAATTGATTAAACATTTGTTTAACTTGTACTCGCTCTTCTGTTCTAAACACACTTTTTATAATGGTATATATAAATTTTTATCATATAGTTTTAGCAATGTGTTTTTTATATATGTAAATCCTCTATTTTCTATTCAAATCCACCAAACTATATACGTACAAAGATAATAAAATGAAAATACTTTAAGCTATGTTTAAAAAAACAATAAATCTTTGCAAATAACTAGACATGATTTCAAAATTCTCAAAAGTTTTATTACGAAATTTACTATTCAAAAAGTCGTTATTCTCAAAACAATACATAACAGAATAGAACAAAATAAAAAATAATAAAAAATTAATTGTGAGAATAGCGCACAAGATTGACGCCCCTTCATAACACTCAATTAACCCGACTTTTAACAGAAGCTACTTTTTTAAAAAAATCACAAAATAAAGAATAAACTGAAGTTACACGCTTTATTTTATTTATTTCTTCATTTATTTTATTGCTGTAATGCAACATTTTAGGATCAGAAGCATCAACAATTGCCACTCCAGCAACATGAACAGTCACAACAGCAACATTTGGTGAAGTTTATTGGCGTTGACGAAGTCACGACAAGTGTTGCGCCATCACAATTACCGTTTGGTAAACTACGAGGTTTTCATCATCACGATCCACAAAAATGGAGAGAGTTCTTCTTGCAATTGGAACCTTTTCAGAGTCAATGTTCAGCAGCTGGTCAACGTTTAGTCGCAGCTATGAGTGATATTCGTACTGCTGACCTGCAAGGGTTACCAACACGACGTCAATTGTATGCTCAGCATAGAGCACTAAGCCGTGCCATAATGGATTCCGAATTGCATAATCTGAGAAAATGTGGCTCATTGACGTTAGCACGTCTGCAGGAGTTAGCCAAATCCATCAATATGAGCCAAATTGACAGTTGTAATAAAAATACCACGAAAAATAACTGCAGTAGCAATAGGATTAAAACCAACAATGTTAACAAGATGTTGTCGACAGCAACATCGATCATTAGCAACACTTATAGCTTTAGTAACAATAGTCACATAAGTCACAATTCGGTCAACACCAAAATAAAAAGTTCAGCATTGTCAGGAGAAGACAACAACAAATCAGTCTCATCAGCAACATCAGTTGTGGAAGCATCAACGATAGCAAAGAACAACAATAGTTACACAAACAACAACGTTAGCAATTGCAACCATAGTAACGATAACAGCAATAGCAACATTGATGTTGCAATTAGAGTACAAAAAGTTGCTTTGTTATTCAATGAGGTCGATCGAGCATCGAAGCGCTTGGAGCAGTTAACGGAACAACGTCGTGAAAGATTGCGAGAATTGACACGCCAACGTGCGCTGGAAGATGAAGTCAATGAGGTAAGTCAGTGACACTTCTTTTCACATTTTTTTTCTTCTATTATTTCGTTCTTTATTATATATTTCTGATTTAATTTTATTTTTTCTTTTATTTTTATATTTAAAGTTGGTTATTATATCAAAAATTTTTTTATTATTAAATGCCTGAAAAAGAAATTAATTATTGCTGCATGCTGGGTTCCTCTGTAACTATTTCTTGTGATAATAAGAAATCAATACATATATATAATATATTTATAATATACATTATAATATAATATACAGTTGTGGGTTTAATATTTTAAAAACAGAATAACTACATATATACAATTTAGTAATATAAAATTACTAAATTTAAATTAATTAACAACTAAATCCTGGTTTGTGCTCTCTATGGAAAGGAAGAATAAACGATATACAAATATCTGTTTTCAAATTTCCACATCTGAATTAAAGAGGTCTCAACCAATGATTGAGATGCTCTATAAAAATATCAGTCCAATAGTGGGTTAATTTATGGATTACTTTCCATCAGCATGTCAGGATGATTAAATATCCCCTTTTGTCATGGATAACAGAGATTATATATGCTGGAGAGTTACTTCTAGAAATTATTCATCAGTTGAAAGTAAATAACTGGCATCACCGTAACATACCCAAAACTTCTTATTAATACAAAAACATCTATGACTTCCGTTTTTAAAAGTCTTCCCTTTTGTTATGGGTAACATTGATTATATATGCTGTAGAGTTACTTCTAGAGGTTATTTATCAGTTGAAACATACCCAAATTTTCTTACTTGCAATATAAACATCTATGACTTCTATCTATAATTAAAACTGTTTATTAAAACTTATAAAATTAAAACTTTTTAAAATGCAATACAATTATCTCTCTCTAATATATAAAATATTTACAGTTTTTGTACTACTCTATGTTTTCTAAGAGTTCAGAAAAAAAAGCTTGATTTTACTTTTTTTTGTTAATTTTAAAGACAATTTTACACCTTGGCTAATTTGAATCAATCATTAACAACTCTAGGTATTGTATATATACCTACAATATAAGGTTCATTCAATACCCTTTTAACCCGATTAGGTTTTTTTGCCATTTATTATACATTAAACCGCAATGTATAATGGGTTATTGTGCTAACCATAGTTATCTTAACCGATCTTTAGAGTTTCAATAAACGGTAGCATGCGAAATGATATTGCTTTATTCTATATATTATATGAGTCAACAAATATGTTCTGAAGTTATTCAGTCTGCTCAGTTTTAGGTATATTGTGCTAACCGCAATTATTTTAACCGATCCATACTGAATGCTACAGTTTATATGAATTAAATAGACTGTATCTAAGATGAATAAGTCTACTCAGCTTTAGGCATTCATAAAGACTTTTTAACATCCATTTTATAGAATGTGTAGAAATTGGTTTCTGAGAGATCGATTTTATGGTATCTCTATCAGCATTGTCCTGTCTAAAACGTTATTACAATTTTAAATATGCATTCGGCTAAGTAAAAGTAATTTATTTGGGATTCACCTTAAATGGGTTGATGAATTTTTAGCCTCTTTTTGTGTTCAATCTTTTTAAGTGTATTTAATTTACATATATTACTATCATTTGGAATAGTCCACATAAAGGAATATTACATTTTTGTCAGAGTGTGTGTTAATTATACTTAATTTATGTTACTGGAATAAATCATTTCAGTTTAGCGTCCTTGAATAAAATTTAAGATAGAATTTAGATACTGAACAAAATCTTTATGATCTTAAGTAATGTGAAATAAAAAATAATAATGTGAGAATGGTTATTTTTTATATAAGAAAAAAAGTATTTTTCAAAAATTTACGAACAGTAAAGTCGACTATGTCAAAAAGCATGTAATCTTAGGTCTTCTCACAAGTTATGGGATAATACATATATTGTAATGTGAGTATAATATTTATAATATGCTACGAGGTCTATTAAATATTCTTTAGCCCTTTCCGAAACTCTAAATTGACTGTATTTTGAATTATAAAATTTTTGTCTGGTTTTAAGTATATTCCCATGTAGCTTCATCTCTGGTGTCTTCATGCAGCACACTTTCTCAGTATTTGTCTTTTTACCACGTACTCTTCATCACGGAATCTGTAGGTTTGATATAATACCTTGTATCATTTAAGTCTACAGTATTGGGACGTGAGACTGGAATGCGGTAAACTTATAGATTGATATGGTCTAACTACTACTATTAAGAATTCATAGAGTTCAGTGTTGAATAATTGTATTAAAATCGAGAACTAGAAAACAATTAAATTAGGGATACTAAATCTGTAAAAGCTTTCAACAAAAATACCTACCAATCTATACAATTTCATCTTTATTAATCTGTTATTTCGATATTTTAGAAAATTGTGTATAACATTTTTTCAATCAATTTTTTTATTTTAGGCTTTATTCGAAATAATCACCGTTTATATTGTAAAATATTTAATTATACTTAATTATATTTAATAGGCCATTCGATAAACATATTGCGATCTACAGTAAATTACCTGAAAGTAATGATGTATAAGTTCTTTAAAGTCTCTCTAATGATTCTAAAATTAATTAAGTAAATAGTTTCATCCATTGCTTTAGCAACAGTTGATGCTAGCAACAGTTTTTCTTCCACATTGCAAACGTGTTTCCAATGTGATTGTTTTGGCTTCGAAGCAAAGTTCAATAAACGGCGAACATTACGAACTTGAATTGTGTCAATATTGCATCATTGAAGTCAATGACTTGTTCGTCATTCAATAAATTATAAAAGAAATTAATTCTTATCTTAATCGATTTTTAATTTATTTTGTTATTTGGACAATTATAAAGTTTTGATTTTTTTGTTAAATTTTTCTTATTCTTAATTTTAATTACTTTATTTCGCTGATCCAAATCTATGCTTCTATTGAGATTTTTGCCAAACAACAATGACAATGGCTTAGTAATATGTTATGAGACATATATTTCCGATTACAAAAAACAAGTCTCTGATTTGTTATATGAGAGTATCGTGTTTTGTACAACAAATTTCCAATTATTATTTTTCATATCATATGTACACTTTAAAATATATACAACAATTTTAATAATAATCTATTTATATATTGATTGACGTTGGAACCGAGCACCTTCCATCAAGTGGCCTCACTAATGTATAGAATTAGACAAAGTAAACCACGAAACCTTGGGCTCTTTTTCGTCCTTCGATTCTCAAATATCGTTATTGAGTTAAAGCCACAATGGCTTCCGTTCGCATTACTATATATCTTGTTAATGCAAGCATTTAGCTGGAGATTAATCTAAATAATGTTTACTTAATTCGAAATTTAATTTCAGTGTATGAGGGTTTATGAGATAGTATATGTAGTTTTAGGGTATCATCATTGTTGTCTCTCAGAGATTATATTCGAGTTGCTATTATTAACGAATATATTCCAAGTTTGGTTGCCACCCTCTGAACTTATAAAAATACTCATAAAATTACTAAATTAGAAGTTTTAGATCAATCGCATACAACTTTATTCGACTGAGGTGTTATAATAAATATTACCTCTTCAAAAGAACAGTTTTGAAACTCAACAATTTAAAATAAAAAATATGTAATTAATTAAATTTTTCTATAGCTGTTTTATGATTTCGTTCTTATACAACACAGTAAATGAATTTGTTAATAAACTTTCAGAGCAAATCAATAAAACTCCAAGTTAGAATATACAAGTTAAGTACAGCTTTGGGTCAGTTAACTAATGAACATTGACACTGAACTTCAAATTGGGCAGGGCACGAATTCAAGCCTTGGTCTTACAACCTCAAAAAACTGTTGACTAATAATTAAATATAAAAAATAATTTCAAGCTCATTGATTATAGATAAATGGCAATACTTGAAACGACTGTAGTGTCAGCCAAAAATTTAATAAATTAAAAATAATGAAAAAATTTCTTGTTGTTGCAATTTCACTAGTATTCGACCTTTCTATTAAAAATAGTAGTTTATATTAAGAATTTAGTTTCTTTCGACAAAACGGATATTAAAAATTAATTTAATATGTATTTTACTATTGAACAAGTGAATAACTATTGAAAGTGAATAAGTTACCCATATTTGAAAGAAATATAATACAAGACATATATAGGTCAATAAAGGAAAATTGAATATATCGTATCAGATATAACCATCAAATTAATCAAGTAATAGAGAGGAATATATACAACTCAAAAGATCCATCATGGTCTTAGTGTTCTGTTCAATTTGGAACCACTTTTCCTCTGTTCTATCTATGTATATAGTTTTTGGTATGAAAAAACCTGATATACTGGGTTGTTCGGAAAATAATTTAATTTTTCGTTGTTCGTAATAATTGTTTTTTTTTCACAGCTAATTTTACACTTAAGCCGCGTAATTATTATATTGTTAATATATATATATACATATTATATAGCTAATATATCGAGACTTTCTTGTTGAAAACTTTGATTTATTCTATACAATAGTTTTAGTTTAGTGCCCTTTCCAATATGAAAAGTAATAAGCAGCATTGTTAGTATATTTTACTTTTTTTAATGTCGGTAGATTATAGAACCCAGTTAAATTTAACTGGTTTAAATTAATTAAATTAAATTTAACTTGGTTCTATAATTAACAAACTAAATTAACGTAATATCTTAAATACATTGTTTAAATTTCGAAATAGTTTTCTATAGGTCAAAGGATTTTACTTAAAATTAGTTAATACAAAAATTAAAAACTTTTTTCTTTGTGGGTAAGTCTAAGTGAACATTTCTAATTAGTTGCAATGAACCAAAACTTTCTATGCTCTGATAAGAAAACATATAAAGACATTTGTATGAAAATTTGTTATCAAACATATGTGTACACTGTACATTACAAAAATATAAAAAAAATATGTATAAAATTAGCTAAAGCTTATTTAGTTCACTGATATTTTACACTTTGTTGTCACTGTGCTGCTGTGCAACATC